GGGGGGGAGGAGTGACAGACGCCCGCACCTGCGTGTTGCGCAGGTGGTCGATGATGCGGCCGGGGGTGGCTACCACGATTTCCGGCCCCTTCCGCAGCGCGACGGCCTGCGGGGTCAGACATGGGGGGGGGGGAAGGCGGGGTCAGACATGGGGAGCGGGGGCGCGGATCAGTTTGGAAGCTAGGGGCGGCAGGAGGGGCTTCAAGATAAGGGCAATCAACCCACGGCGGCCGCCGGAAAGGCCGAGCGGGGCACTGCTTCGTGTCAAGGTGGCTCCCAGGACGGCCGCCCTTGGCAGTTGATAACATTGCGCAGAGCATCTATGTGGGGTCGCGCACAATCCAAAAGCGACCCAGCGCTCCGGGGGGGGGGGGGGAAGGGCGCACCTGGGCCGGCAGGGAGAGGCCTCCCACAATGAGGGCCGCGCTGATGTCAGTAAACTGGGCCAGCTTCGAGATCATAGAGTGTATCTGAGATCGGGGGTTTAGGGGGCCGGATCAGAATGGCAGACGCACGAGAGGATTGAGGGGACGATTGCATCAGGCGGGCCGGCGGCCGGCGCTGGGCGACGCCAGTCAGGGGGCAGTGGGCGTGGGGGTGGCCCTGGGCAACAGGGGAAGCATGCCTGCCTTGGTGGGGTGCCAAAAGCACCCCCTCCGCCACACGACCCCCTCCACCTTGCTCCTCCCCTTTCCCAAACCACACACTCCAACACACGCACGCGCACAGCGTACGCATGTGGACAGTAGGGACCAAGTGAATGCGAAACCCGCACCTGGACAGCCAGCTCGCGCGTGGGCGTGAGAATGAGCACGTAGATGGCTGCGCTCTGCCTCGGCCTGAACAGCAGGCGCTCCAGTATCGGCAGCGCAAACGCCGCCGTCTTGCCGCTGCCCGTCACCGCAGACCCGCAGATGTCGCGCCCCGCGAGCGCCAGCGGCACGCAGGCGGCCTGGATGGGCGTCGGCGCCGCGTAGCCGAGCGCTGTGCAGGCGCGCAGCAGGGGGCGCGACAGCTGCAGGTCCGAGAAGCTCCCCGCGCTGTAGCGGGTCCCCTCCGGGGTAGCTGCGTAGAAGCCGCCCTTGCCGCCCTTGCCGGCGCCGGGCTTGCCGTTGGCGGCGGCCTCGGCGCCGCCGCGGCCGCTGGGGCCGGCGCCAGGCTGCTGGCGCCGCTGCGCTTCGGCGCTGGGCGCCTCTTCGTCCTCCTCGCTCTCTTCTTCCTGCTGCTGCTGCTGCTGCTGCTTCTGCTTCTGCTTATTGACGCGCTCCTCCTGCTGCTGCTTAGGGCCCTTTCGCTGCTGCTCCTGCTTTTCCTGTGTTCCCTTCCCTCTCTGCTGCTGCTGTTCCTGCTGCTGTTTCCGCTGCTGCTGCTGTTTGCGCTGCTGCTGGGTGGGCGGCGCCTTGTCAGATTCGTCGCTGCCGTCATCGTCAGCGTCGTCGTCGCCGTCGCTGAGCCCCTCATCCTCATCCTCATCACTACCCTCCACCTCGCCTGCGATGACAGGGCGCGCAGTGCGCCAGTGAGCCGCGCGCGAGCCATGGATTGAGCGGAGCGCCAGGCGGCCGGGCGCCCAGAGCCGGTCACGGCCTTTGACTCACGCGGCCCCGTACGTGCGTGTGCGCCTGCCGCCTTGCCCCGAAAGCCGCCGCCCACCTGGCAGGGGCCTGTCCTCATCTTCACTACTCTCGCCGCCGCCCTCGTCCTCGTCCTCGTCCTCGTCGTCGCCGTTGCCGCCATCAGAATCGTCGTCCTCCGAGCTGCTGCCGTCGGGCG